TTTTTATAAACAAAATTAGTTTAATTTTATAGAACTAACACTGATTGCAAAACATAATTATTTTCTAAAAAAATTGTGTTCTTTCTTTCCACTCCTCGTGGACTCGACACTCAAGTTATACTGCTTAATATACGTTCACTCACTACTACATTTATCCATTTGCACGACGAAGAAGATTTAGTCGTGCAAAGAAGAATCGAGTCGCACAAACTTTACCGCGACATAATCCTCGTCGCGCACTAACCGTTGCGCAAAGATCGTGAAGAAAGACATTGCGCGACAAAGAACTTTCTTGTTCGCGCATTGCGCGACAAAGTCCTTCATTAGTCGCGCGAAACTGAGTGACGGTTAACCTTCGTCGCACAAAATATTCGTCTCCCAACAGTATGCGCGACGAGAAACAAATTGTCGCACGAGATAGAGCGACGTTTAAAACTCGTTGCACTTTTTTGTGTCCCAAAAATTTGCACGACGAAAGGGCTGTAATCACATCTCCTTTCGTGAGGCGAAACACTTTCATCTCTCAAACATTTGCACGACGAAAACATATTAGTCGCATTTCCTTTCGAGAAACGAAAATATTTCGTCACGCAAAAATAAAATATAGATTTTTTAATTTTAATTTTAATTTTACTCTTTTGTATTAGCGCGACGAAATTTTTCGTCGTGCAAAAGTAAAATATATTTTATTTACCTTTAATTTTACGTTTTTTTTTGTAATAAAATATATTTGATTTAATTTTCATTTTACGTTTTTTTTTGTAATAAAATATATTTGATTTAATTTTCATTTTACGTTTTTTTTTGTAATAAAATATATTTGATTTAATTTTCATTTTACGTTTTTTTTTGTAATAAAATATATTTGATTTAATTTTCATTTTACGTTTTTTTTTGTAATAAAATATATTTGATTTAATTTTCATTTTACGTTTTTTTTTGTAATAAAATATATTTGATTTAATTTTCATTTTACGTTTTTTTTTGTAATAAAATATATTTGATTTAATTTTCATTTTACGTTTTTTTTTGTAATAAAATATATTTGATTTAATTTTCATTTTACGTTTTTTTTTGTAATAAAATATATTTGATTTAATTTTCATTTTACGTTTTTTTTTGTAATAAAATATATTTGATTTAATTTTCATTTTACGTTTTTTTTTGTAATAAAATATATTTGATTTAATTTTCATTTTACGTTTTTTTTTGTAATAAAATATATTTGATTTAATTTTCATTTTACGTTTTTTTTTGTAATAAAATATATTTGATTTAATTTTCATTTTACGTTTTTTTTTGTAATAAAATATATTTGATTTAGTTTTAATTTTACATTTTTTTTTTGGTAATAGAATAAAATTGCAATAAAAAAACTATAATGAAGAGAAAAAATAATATAAATTTATATAGTACAAGACAAATGTTTAAAATGTAATTAAGAAAGTAAAAAACTAATTAAAAAATGTAGCAACATCTATGTTGTCATCTTGCAAATACGGCTCGGAAGTCTGGACATGGTCGACAGGGGCAGAGGTGTAGTGGCCATGCTCTAGTTGGAGGGGCTCGGAGGTCGACAAGGAACCAAAATTTGGCGGGATTGGAATGCCGGACCGAGAGAGGGACTCTATAAGCTGTGACATCTGGGTCGACGAGGTCTAACACCATTTGTGACAATCTTCCATTGGGATCTTCCCCAAGCTTTAGATGACGAATATGGTGATTTTTAAAGCCCTAAAATTGTGTAAGTGAACAAATTCTGTCATAAGTACATGGTAAAGATCATTTAATGAAATATATATTACAGTAACATCTACATCTTGAATTGTGCATACTATATACAACGATCATTTTAGAGCATATGTAAAACTTTGTTTTGAGAACTTTGGCAATCGAGTAAAACACTGGATCACGTTGAATGAGCCATATACCTTTACTATCAATGGTTATGCATCGAGGTCCCACGCACCGGGATGATGCTTGCTTGGGAAAACCTAAATAATGATACATACAATGCTTACACCTCATGCTTAAATATTCCACCTCTTGCTTTAACAAGATTTGAGAACTATATAATTGCAACATGTCAACTTTGTACAAAATGTTTAGTAAGTATAAGGGACTTTCTAATGCTTTTGTAAAGTGTATAAATATATAATAAATATTAAAATAAGGCTTAAATGAATTAATATAGTGAAAGCCATGCTCCTCATGTTAATGTTACAAGTGAGTTCAAATTGAATACTTACCTTAAGCAATGAATTAAATTCTTAGAATAATTAGATTCTAATATTCATATACATATATGTCTTAACAGCTGAGCTTAATGGGGTTCCTATTGGTCCACAGGTGCACATCAAATTATTAGCTTATACTATTAGCATTTGGAGGATTAATATATATTGTTTTTCACATACAAATTACTCATAAAATGTCAATTATCTTCAAATTGGATTGCAGACTGCTTCAGATTGGTTATATGTTTATCCAAAAGGAATTCACGATCTTATACTCTACACAAAAGAGAAGTATAATGATCCAATCATTTACATTACTGAAAATGGTAATTAATAATTTTAAGTCATTATTAATTACATCATTAATGTTTCACATATATATGATGGTGTGAAAAGTGTTTTAACATCTAAAATTAAATGCATATGATAATGCATTATATTGTAGGAGTTGATGAGTTCAATGATCCCGAAGTATCTCTTCAAGAAGCCCTTAATGATACCAATAGAATTGACTACTACCATCGTCACCTTTGTTACCTTCAAGCAGCCATTAAGTAAGTGCATGTTTAAGTAATTAATCAAGGCCATCCAAGTTATAGGCGTCTCAGATTTTGGTTATTTAAACATTACATTGACATCAATACATTTAATTTTCCTTTTTTTTTCTTGTGTGTGCAGAAATGGTGCTAAAGTGAAAGGATATTTTGCATGGTCGTTATTAGACAATTTTGAATGGGATTATGGATACACTGTTCGATTTGGTATCAACTATGTGGATTATGATGATAATCTAAAAAGATACTCAAAACTCTCGACGTATTGGTTCAAAAGATTCCTCAAGAAGCAAGAAAAAAGAACGAAAGAGATCCAAATATTTGTGGACGATGAATAAAGTATGACAACTCCCCCGAAGTCGTAGTGCGGGTTGTCTTTTAAGTTTTAAGTTTTTTTGTTAGTTCATTATGAGTTTGTTTGTTACTCCTTGTGAGAGGTTAGTTTTAATTTCATTTTATGTTGTTGATGCTTGGTTTATCCAAGTCTGTTGACTTGATGAGGAAGAGGTTTTTTTGGCCTTTTTTGGCTTTGTCTACATGTTCTCATCATTTGTGTTTAAAATAGGAACGAAATTTCCTCTTGATAAATAAAAATAATAGCTAAAATAAATTATTGTTGACGGATTAATTCCTTACCCCAAATATTAGTTACTTGATAGTATGTGTACCCTAAATTATTGTTGGCGGATCATTGAAAAAGACAGGCAGGTTACTTTATTTGTTGGCAATAATGTATATAAGCAACTGATTCTAGAAATTGCCACAAGAAAAATGAGTGTTAGCTAGAGGGAGATCAATACGCAACACAAAGTTGACTTATACTTTCTCTTGGTTTACAAAATATTCAAAATTAGGTATTGCCCTGACAAGAGAGACCATTGACGGAACAAGTTCATCTGTCAAGTCAAGCACCTACAATGAATACACAATTTACGAATACTTACGGTGCAAGGCACGGAACCTTTTCTCAATTTTTTAAATAAAAATTATTGATTAGAAAGAAGACAAGAACCTACATTCAATACGCAAAAAGAAAAAAACAGTAATAAAGTTAAACTAACTGCTATACATCTCAGAATCAAGATTATTAGTAACCATCAATTGTTAAACAATTTTGTGCTTATAGAAGGGCTAAAAGTGCTTATGATAGCGTTTGGCAGAAAAATTTAAAATCACTTATGGATCATATAAACGCTTATAAAAGCGCTTTTAGATGGACCTTAACCTTATGGACCACAATCTTTTTTAAAGCCCTTGTGTTTACCCCAAAAAAAAAAAA